GTATCCAGGAAATTCCGCATGGCAATGGCCATTTTTTGGACCGCAGAGTTTGTTCTTCTATAAAGTGTATAATGTTGCATAAAAAACATAAATCTAGATCCAATCCTTTAAATCCAGTTTGGTACTGGATTCCGTTTTAAATTTCGTTTTTGACAACTTTGGGTGTCTTCTTTGCAGCAACTGTAATCAAAGATCTAACCAAAAGTTTTATCCAGAAACTTTCGCATGGCATGGTCATTTTTGGACCGGAGTTTTGTTCTGTTTTTCTATGTAAAGTGCATAAAGTTCGTAAAAAACACCTAATTCTATATCCAATGCCTTTAACACCATTTGTCTGATCGTCATAATATTCGTTTTTGTACAACTTGGAGGGCTCTTTCTGTTGCACTAACTGAAAAATCAAAGCTCAACCCAAAAACTTTATCCAGGAATTTCCGCATGGAATGGTCCATTTTTTGGACCGGAGTTTGTTCTTTTTCTATGTAAAATGCATAAATGTCGAAAAACACAGTATTCTATATCAGTCCTATAACACATTTGTCTGATTCCGTTTAAATTCGTTTTTGTACAACTTGGGGGTCTTCTTTGCACAAATTGAAAATCAAAGCTCTAACCCAAAACTTTTTCCAGAAATATTTTCCGACACGCATCGGTCATTTTTCGGACAGAGTTTTTTGTTCTTTTTCTATATAAGTCGTATAAATTTTGTAAAAACACCATATCATATCCAATCCTTTTAACCATTGTCTGATTCAGTTTAAATTCGGTTTTGTAATCAACTTTGGAGGGTCATCTTTGCACCAAACTGGAAAATCAAGTTTTAACCAAACTTTATCCATGAAAATTTCGGCAGGGCATGGATTTTTTGATTAGAGTTTTGTTTCTTCATATAAAGTGTAATAAACTTCATAACAAACACTAAAATTCTAGATGCAATCCTTTAAATACCATGCTTGATCCGTTTAAATTCCGTTTTTGATACACCTTTTGGAGTGGTCTTCTTGCACAAACTGAAAATCAAAGCTCAACCAAAAACTTTATGCCAGGAAATTTTCCGCATGGCATGGTCATTTTTTTGGACGGAGTTTTGTTCTATTTCTATGTAAAGGCATAAATGTGTAAAAACACTATATTCTATATTAATCCTTTTAACACCATTTGTCTGATTCCGTTTTTAATCGTTTTTGTTCAACTTTGGAGGGTCTTCTTTGCACAAATTGAAAATCCAGCTCTAACCCAAAAACTTTCTTCCAGAGGATAATTCCGCACGGCATGGTCATTTTTTTGGACCGGAAGTTTAGTTCTTTTATATAAAGTGTGTATAAGATTTTCGTAAAAAACACCATATTCTATATCCAATCATTTTAACACCATTTGGTCTGATGCCGTTTTTAAATTCGTTTTTGTACAACTTTGGAGGGTCTTTTTTGCACAAATTTGAAAATCAAAGCTGCTAAACCCAAAAACTTTTTCAGGGATACATTCCGCACGGCATGGTCATTTTTTTGGACCGGAGTTTGTTTTTTTTCTATATAAAGTGTATAAGATTTTCGTAAAAAACACATATTCTATATCCAATACTTTTAACACCCATTTGTCGGATTCCTTTCTTAATTCGTTTTTGTACAACTTTGGAGGGTCATCTTTGCACAAACTGAAAATCAAAGCTCTAACCCAAAAACTTTATCCAGGAAATTTCCGCATGGCATGGCCATTTTTTGGACCAGAGTTTTGTTCTTCATATAAAGTGTATAAATTTTCATAAAAAAACACTATATTCTAGATCCAATCCTTTAAATACCATTTGTCTGATTCCGTTTTAACTTCGTTTTTGTACATCTTTGGAGGGTCTTCTTTGCACAAACTGAAAATCAAAGCTCTAATCCAAAAACTTTTTCCAGGAAATTTCCGCATGGCATGGTCATTTTTGGACCGGAGTTTTGTTCTATTTCTATATAATGTGCATAAATTTTCGTAAAAAACACCATATTCTATATCCAATAATTGTAACACCATTTGTCTGATTCCGTTTTAAATTCGTTTTTGTACAACTTTGGAGGGTCTTCTTTGCACAAATTGAAAATCAAAGCTCTAACCCAAAAACTATTTCCAGGATATTTCCGCACGGCATGGTCATTTTTTGGACCGCACTTTTGTTCTTTCTCTATATAAAGTGCATAAATTTTCGTAAAAAAACACCATATTCTAGATCCAATTGTTGTCTGATTTCTTTTTAAATTCTTGTTTGTACAACTATGGAGAGTCTTCTTTGCACAACATGAAAACCAAATTCCTAAAAAAAAATGGAATGATAATTAGATTGTGATGTTTCAGAGGATATTATAAACAGCAATATAAGTCTCATAATAGCATGAGGCCCACATAAAATGATCGTTATTTTTTTGAACGGCGATTAGTCCTGTAAGTATATAAAGTCTCAGAAATTTCGTTTAAAAAACACCATATTCTACCGCCCGCCTTTTAAACACCATTAGTCTGATCGTCCGTTGAAAATTCGTTTTTTGTACAAATTCAGAGGGTCTTCTTTACACAAAATGAGACCAAAGCCCCTAACCCAACAATTGTCCAGGAGATTTGCCGCGTGGCATGGTCATTTTTTTGACCCCGCGATTTGTTCTTTCTGTATATAAAGTGCATAAAAAAGACATATTCTAGAGCCAACCGTTTAAAACACCATTTGTCTGATTCCGTTGCAAATTCCGTTTTTTGTACAACTTAAGAGGGTTTCTTTGCACAAAATGAGTACCAAAGCCCTAACCGGAACAATAATTTCCAGGAGATTTCCGCGTGGCATGGTCATTTTTTGCTCCCGCGATTTGTTCTTTCTGTATATAAAGTGCATAAAAAACACCATATTCTAGAGCCCAACTGTTAAGACACCATTTGTCCGATTCCGTTGCAAATCTCGTTTTTGTACAAAACTTTAGAGGGTGTTCTTTGCACAAAATGAAGTACCAAAGCCCTAACCAAAGAATCTTTCCAGGAGATTTCCGCGTGGCATGGTCATTTTTTTTTTGCTCCTGCGATTTTTTCTTTCTGTATATAAAGTGCATAAGAAACACAATTGTCTAGAGCAAACCGTTAAGTAACCGTTTGTCTGATTCCGTTGCAAATTCGTTTTCGTACAACTCTGGAGGGTGTTCTTTGCACAAAATGAGTACCAAAGCCCTAACCGAAACAATATTTCTAGGAGATTTCCGCGTGGCATGGCCATTTTTTGGACAAGCGATCTGATTTCCACTCTATATAAAGTGCATAAATTTTCCTAAAAACACTATATTCTACAGCCAATTGTTTACACACCGTTTTTCTAATCCCATTGCAAATTCAATTTTGTACAAATTCAGAAGGTCTTCTTTGCACAAAATGAATATCAAAGCCCTAACCAAAACATTATGTCTAGGAAATTTCCGCATGGCGTGGTTATTTTTGGAACGACGTTTTTTCCGTTTATAAAGTGCATAAAACACCATATTCTAATGTCAAGCATTCTGACACATTTTGCCTGATTCCGTTGCAGATTAGTTTTTGTACAACTTCAGAGGGTCTTCTTTGCACAAATTGAAAATCAAAGCTCTTACCCAAAAACTTTTTCCAGGAGATTTCCGCATGGCATGGTAATTTTTTGCTCCCGCGATTTGTTCTTTCTGTATGTGCATAAAAACAAAATTCGATTCGATTTCGATTTCGAATTTACTTAACATAAATTTTGCTATTTTTTTTAAATTATTATACCTTTATCAATTTAAGCAGTGATAGTTAAAAGTTCTTAAGATATATTAAAAATGTTTTGATAATAAACAATGTTTTTAAAACAATACATGCGTAACTGTGTTTAAATTGTGTTCTAAGCTATATTTGTTTAGTTTTTAGAATACTTTAATGATGGGAAAGAATTCTTTATTTTTTCACATGATGTAATTATAGTGAAAAGTTATATATCTTACTTAGTATTAAGAGGATTATTATCATTATTATGTACAAAGAATTAATATCTCTTTTCATTCTAACGCATCAAGAAAAAAAGAGATTGATTTGATGATTGGTAGTTAAAAATTGTTTTCGCCAGAAACTTGTTGTGCCATACGATCGTTAAGTCTTCCATTTTCAGAAATTAAGTCCGTCCAAATAATAAATATTTGCTAGGGCCATGATTTATATTTACGACTAAGTATATTAAATGATGACTGAATTCTTCTAGAAAGGAATATGAATACTTTCATGAAAGCGGCATGCCTTTAAGACTTCACTGGCTTCAGATTCGAATTCATGATACATGTATTTGATTGAATTTTATAAAGTTGTATCTGAAACGTAAAAGGACGAAATCAAGACATGTTTTGCGTAAAACATGCAAGCCAAATCTCACTTGTATTATGACTATTTATGCCTTTTTTTTAAACTGAAGTCTTTTTTTTTCTTAAATTTTATTTAATTTATGTTCACAAGTTTATTTAATCATCTTCAAGTAGTTAACGTGATTAACGAGAAAGTAATGACATCTCAAAATCATGACAATTAATATAGCACCAAGTATTAAATGCCGGTTGTAGTTAACTAGGTTTACCAGAAAAAGTGTCACTGGGAACCTGTGATTTACCCCTATGAAAAAGTATAATGCAGTGGTGTGCACATTGTAAAAAGAATTAGCTTCTTATTGTTCAACCAGAAAAAAATTATACCCATTTACTTGTTACTGGTCTAAAATAGATTTGCAGGCTGGCCTGGCTCTATACTGGTCGCTTTCTGATGAGCAAGGTAAGGGTGAATGAGGTTCAAACACAATACAACACTAGGATCATGATGGATTAACTAAATTTATTTCAAAGCGATGAAATTGTTTGAACTTTAATAACTCCATGATAAACACTGAACGTTCAGCATGTGGTAGCAGTCATGACGGTCATTTAAAAGAAGGCCACTGTCATCTCCTTTTCCCGCACTATCTCGGTTTTGACCTTTGAAGTACATAACATTGGTTCGGTACAAAATGTCTTGTTATGTTCCCGTTATTATCACATTTATTGTCAATAATTTCGGCCAGTTTATCTGTCCAGTGGTTAGACAAAGGAATTTCTATCTTGGACGCACTTGTTACTTTCTAACGGGTTACAGATAACCTTGGTCCTTTTATCGAATAACCACAAAGGTCGCCTGACAAGATGAAAAACAATAACCTTATTCCGATAACCGTTGGTGAGGTCAAAATGAGATGGAAATTTTGAAATAAAAACAAAATATTATGATTATTTAACTGAACATCTAATGAACATCTAAATCCAATTGATTTTGTCCTTCAGGGTTTGAAAAAATGGAATTATTAATCTATAGCTTGAATTAAACTTAATTAGATTATAAAAACAATATGACTGGGAATAATTTTAATAAAATGTTCGTTTTGTCGGTATGGTTTGTTGTGTTAACTTCGTCGTATAATTTGGTACGAGCACAAGGTATGTTTCATGGACTTTTATTACATGTAACACAATTATTGGTTTCCTATGGCATATTCTTTTAAGAATCTAGACGTGTCTTTGTACTTCTTAGTTACTGCGTTGATAACAATATACATTAACAATATACATATTGAAATTAATTTGGAATTTTTCTGACAGCCGAGATATAACATTTTCTATATAATATGTATGATATAGCTATAACTAAAGTTGATGCCATTTTGAAAGTACTTTGGACCGGAGGCCTTATAATGCAATAAAACGTTGTTGTTGTTGTTGCTGCTGCTGTTGTATGACCAAACACTGCTGTAATCGGCTGAGGAAAAATATCTTTGTGTAGCGCACATTGTTTTAATTGTTTTCGTTTGTGGACATTGTGGATTGGAATGATGAATTAATTTACACGATACATTTTAATATTAATTATAAATAAAGTCTTTAATTAAGAAGGTAACAAGTAAGCGAATAAAATCTAAAATAAGAACAAGAATAGGATATTTATTTAAGAATTGACTTATTATTTTTAGATTTTACAATCAGTTCTGATTTAAGTTTTTTAAAACAGGTGAGAAAGAATTTCACCATAAAAAAATGATGAAGCCGACATTCAATTTTGAAGTGATGAATATTAACGAATTCAATTGGAGGAAATAAAATGTTTAAAGGAATTTCACTGAGGTCCTAAAACCTAAAAATATAATTTCCTACAGAGATCAGTTTGTGCACTTAAATCAGAAAGATATTTGCCGCGTCACGACAAAACCAACATAGTGGGTTTGCGACCAGCATGGATCCAGACCAGCCTGCGCATCCGCGCAGTCTGATCAGGATCCATGCTGTTCGCTATCAGTTTCTCTAGTTGTAATAGAGTTGGTAAGCGAACAGCATGGATCCTGATCAGACTGCGCGGATGCGCAGGCTGGTCTGGATCCATGCTTGTCGCAAACGCACTGTGTTGGTTTTGTCGTGACGCGGCTTATATGTAAAAGATAAAGATAATGAAAAGTAAACATGTACTTGGAAATAAACTGGAAGTTGTAATTTTGTGCAATTCTTAGCCCGATTTGAGAGAAAACTGTAACAACGCTTTTCAATTTGTGTCATTTTCACAATTAGAATAATTATTATTGAATATGGAGTTAGCGAATTATCTAAAATTTTGCACAAAAGTTATTGGTCAAGACCTAGACCTAAATCAAAAGAAACGTTAATCTCGAAAATTATTCCAGTTCCGTCATATCAAAAAATCTTCTTTAAATTATGTTGATATATTTTCCAGTCAGTGGCAATGCAATAGACCTCGCCAACATGAATATGAATATGATGCACATGAAATGTCCGCTAGAACCTTGTCAAAGCGTCTGCTTAAAGAAAGAACCGGAAACCGGATGTTTTATTTGTGACCCAAAATGCAATACCGGAAACAGTCTCGGAATGCCTGACAGCCGGTTGCCCATGAATATGCAGCCGATGAACACAGGGACAGGTATTAAAATTGCGTGTTTGTTATTTATTTTAGCTGCCATGAACCAGTAAAATGAATTTGCTTTCTCATCATTTTAAATTATAAATGTACTATATATTCATGTATTTTCCAAATGATGTATATAAAATCTTTGTTTTTAAATTAAGTGTAAGCAAATACGTGAAGAATACATATAAAATATACAAGTTCATTGCTAAAAAAGCATTTTTTACAGTTTATTTCATTGTATTTGAGTGTCCAGAATGTGCGGAAATAAATTATTGTCGTTTTTAAACTTAAATCATGGAACAATTATCAAAACGGCCAACAGATTCATGTAATTGGAATTATTTGGTTAACTTTGCCGGATGCTATGCTATATTCACACGGTCGAAAGGATTTAAAGAATCTTTCTTGTTTATCTTAAATTTGATGGTCATTGATAGGTCAAACTTCGTTCTATAATGGATGTGAGCATGATAACTGGATACAGTGCCCGATGTCATGTCAGAGAAATTTTGACCAGAAAGGATGTTTCAAATGTCTTTGTAGAGCTAGCAATACGTTACGAGGTATTTAATCACTTTTGAGTTTGTCATCTTGTCCAACCTAAGCGGACTGAATGTCCTTATATACAATGTATACACATTTGTTGATGATATTCTTAGCGTTTGGATATGCATGTATTATTTAAACATTTGGTTAGCAATCATTTATGTTCTAGTGCAATTATATGCCTTTTATTTAAATCTGTTTTAACAAAACTGTGCAGATTCAGCGCGTTGCAAATGATTAGATTACGTTTTAATGTGTATTGCTTTTTATACTGTATAGATTTGTTTTCAATTTTAAGCACCCCAATCTTCAATGCAGACGTTGATTGCGACATCCAAAAGTTCACAACAAATCCTAAGCAGTACTCCTTGGAAAAGCGTGAAGCCGGAAAGGATATTTTCGTTTCCGCCAACACGAAATAACACTTTAACAACAGAAACATCAACTTCTATTACAACAAATACCAACCCGTCACAGACAACAGAAAAATTGACAACAAAAAATGTTGACATGAGTACAACGAAAACCGTCTTTTCTTCAAGTAAGCCAAAAGTTGTTCAAGACGACATCCGCCCTAAACCGCATAATTTGGACAGGCATGGACAACTGAAACCGACCGGTTACCATAGCTACGACAAAAATAGTTCAACCACTACTTCAGCAATAAATGAAAAGGTGTTGATGGATCAAAATACATCATTGCCTTATGTTAACGAATTCAAACTTAATAATTTGACATTTGTTTTGTTTGGAATAATGATAGTTCTAGTAACATTTAGTTTCGTATTTTTCATCGCATGGCGGAAGTCGTCGCGAAAACTAAAGAAAAACAAAGATGAGCTGTATTTTGTTCATAAAGCGTATAGGCAAGATTCAAATGCACGTTTATCCAACAACGAAATGATGGATCCCGTGTACTCTGATATCAATCCAAGACCGGATCCCCCGCCTCGGAGTCCTAATTTGAACAAGACCGACGCCACATCCGAAGGACCTTTTACGACCAACTTGACAAATGATGGACCTTTCAGAAGCTTTTCACAAAGCAGTGACACACCGCTGAAAGAACATTTTGAAGAATGTAAGCACGACTATCTAGAGCTAATCTAGGATGCTATCGGTTGTTACTGTAATACTTATAAGTGCTTACGAAAGAATTTTATTGGATGTAAATGTAACTGCATTTTCTTCGTGCAATCATGGCTGCGTTGAACCCTCAAACCGGTTCATAGTAATTTTATTATGATGTGCAAGATCGTATTGTATTTAAGAAATTTTAGCATGCTATAAATTTTAAATACCCGTTAATTTAATGGTACATGGTACCGTTATTGCATTTAACAATAATATGTTCAACTTTTTATCATGAACACAATCAGTTGCATATTTGTAAATGCAAAAATGAAACTTTAATAAAACTGAAGACCTTATCACTCGTTGTAAAAGACATATTATTATATTTATTATTATTTTGTAACGCGTAATGAAAACATGGGTGTTACTAGCATCGTGTTTCCGATAACAATTTTCAGGTAATATACCGTACCATTTCATTGTAATAGGTCCTCTACGTAAGGATATGCAATATAATATTCATTATTTTAAAATTGCCCGAACCGACGAAACTGCGTGTATTTTTGTTGGCAAAGGCTAAAAAGAATTGCCATTTTCTGTTAAATACACTTTTGGCCTTTGAGATAACTGGGTCATAACCCCTGAAAAGAGCTTGACATTGTAAATTGATAGATGAATTAAAGTCACAGTGCTAAGATTAAAATGTCATACACAGTTTTCAGCTCTGCCTTGGAGGTATAAATATATACATGTAGTATTAATAACATTATACTTCCTGATGTTGACGAAATGCTTTAATGTATCAATAGTCTGCAAATCTTTCTTATATGATGCACGTGCGCAAAATGCATTCTGGGTACTTTATTGACTTTACACAAATTAACTTTACTGAATCCAACATCTTTCTGTCTGTTCTATTCTATTCGACGTCTGTCATTCAAAGGAAATGGTAAAGCTTTGATTGGAAAGACAAAATTTTATATATATATATTAATTTCATTTGATGTCCGGTCACATGAACCATATTTGGACAGTAATATAGTGTCATTTATGTTTAATTATTTTTATACATTATCGTGTATGTTGCCCAACCCAACAGATTTAAGGAAACAAAGGAGCCAGATAGAAACAAAATATATTCACTTATGCACTTATAGTAGAACATACATAGTATCATAGTAGCAGTTGCAAACTGCTTGGTGAAAGTCCTGTGTCTTGACAGGGATCTTAAGTTACGAATATCCCAAGCATGCACAGTATCACGGCTTTTATTACCGTCGTGAAAGGATTAAGATTATGGAGTATCGAATAATTTTACAAAATTAAAAAAAAATAATTCAAAAGAGGACAGGTGTCATCATTTATAATTAATATACTTTTAAGATCAAATGCACGATGGTTTCGCAACTGTGACCTACTACTTGTTAAGTGTCAGCCTCGTTTGCAATCGCGAACTTGATATGCTAAAAACTGTATCAAAACGGTACCAAATCCTGTGTATGAAAAAGCTTCTTTACTTAGTGCTAGTTATTTGTTAAGATAGGTCTAAGACGTGTCAGTCCTTAGCCAGTTTTATGTGACAGATATCATCTGAGATATGGGAGAGGGTATTATACCCAATCGTCTACATCTACAATCGTTTCAGTGAAGCAGCGTCATAAATAAGGTAATACGCTCATGTCTACGAGTAGCAGTGAAAATCCAGTGGTTGCGAAGTACTAAAACACATATTTCGGTTCGACATTACAATTAAAAGACCTAAGTAGTCTTTGTATAAGTCTTTGTAAAGATACTTTAAACAAACGTCGGTAGACTTTTTCAATGTTGTATGCCTACCTTTAAGATCAAGCACAACAGTTAAAGAACACAATAACAACAAGTCATTGAAATGAATTGATCTTTTATTTCCCTCAGATTTTGACAATATATATCCTTAATATTAATTATATAACAATATGCATGTACATAATTAAATAACATCAAGTAAAATATAATATAAAATGAAACAAAATAAGTTAATTCACATCCTCTCTAACAAAAAGGACAGACACAAAATGTATCGATCCATTTATATAATACAACAGTTTAAAATTACAGATTGTTTGTGATAAAATGGCAGCTGCAGATTATTTCCTCTACTTTTTGAAGATGAAAAAATACAGCAAGTTTCAATGGACCACCGAACTTCAAAAAAATTCATAAGTAATCAATATATTACAATTCATTTTTGTTAGATGATTAAAATAATATTAGGAAATTATTAAATATAACAAAGATAATATTTAGAGTTCCACATAATTATCAACAAAGTATAGAATGTTACAATGTTTATAGGACATTGCAAAATTAATGTGAATATACCAAGTTTTTCTTAATTCCCGCAATTATCATACATTATGTGTACAATACAAAACTATACAGGAGCCAGACTCGGAACACAAGTTTAAGACATCTTCAGTTCACACACCTTTGTCCTATAATAAGAGCAGTTTGGGTTAGGGATTGTGCAAAATATGTTCGTCACTTGAGCATACATGCAGTGTACATGTATATATTTACACTATAAATAACAAGTGTAATCAATTTTGTTTTTAATTAAATACATTTTCATAAAATTTGGTCTTCTATGAGTATTAATCACACTTACATTTCATAAACATGAGCAAATAATCTACACTCATTCTATGAAAACCAATGCTAGAGTTATGGATCTTGGATAGTGATATACAATTATAACTTGCAAGACATTGCCAATGTGTGAAAATTGTAAAGAACACCTTCACTAGTTTTGGAGGTGCAAGTAAACCAAAAACCAGAAAATTCACAAAGGGTTATAATTCAATAATAATCCAAGCTTAGAGTTATGGCTCTTTGGCAGTGACATAAAATTATGTTCCCAATGACTGAATGCTTTCATATACAAAATAAAACAAGAGGGCCATGATGGCCCTGAGGTCGCTCACCTGTATATAGCCCCCCCCCCCCCCAACGTTGCAGAGCCAATTTAAACCCAAGGGCTTTTATTTGCACAAACTTGGTAGACACCCATAAGAAGATGTTTCATGCTAAACATTTAAGCTATAGCTCATTTGGCTTTTTAAAAGAAGATTTTTTTTAAGTTTTTACTATACACATGTAGTTAAAAACAATGACACCCCTGGGGCTGGGCCAGTTTTGACCCAAGGGCTTTTATTTGAACAAACTTTGTAGACACTTACTAGAAGATGTTTCATGCTTAATATCTAAACTCTAGCTATTTGGGTTTTTTCAAAGAAGATTTAAAGTTTTTGCTAAACACATATAAAGAAAATCAATGACCCCCGGGGCGGGGCCAATTTTGACCCCTGGGCTTGTATTTGAACAAACTTGGTAGACACCTATTAGAACATGTTTGATGCTCAATATCTTAGCCATAGCTCTTTGAGTTCTTAAAAAAGAAGATTTTTTAAGTTTTTACTATATGCATATAGGGAAAATCAATGACCCCCCGGGGCCGGGCCAATTTTCACCCCAGGGCTTTTATTTGAACAAACTTGGTAGACACCCATTAGAACATGTTTCATGCTAAATATCTTAGCTCTAGCTCTTTGGGTTCTTTAAAAGAAGATTTTTTAAGTTTTTACTATATGCATATAGGGAAAATCAATGACCCCCGGGGCGGGGCCAATTTTGACCCCAGGGCTTTTATTTGAACAAACTTGGTAGACACACACTAGAACATGTTTCATGCTAAATATCTTAGCTCTAGCTCTTTGGGTTCTTTAAAAGAAGATATTTTAAGTTTTTACTATATGCATATAGGGAAAATCAATGACCCCCCGGGGCGGGGCCAATTTTGTTTTTATTTGAAACAAACTTCGTAGACACTCACTAGAAGATGTTTCATGCCAAATATCTAAGCTCTAGCTCTTATGGTTTTTTAAAAGAAGATATTTAAAGTTTTTTCTTTCGGTTGCCATGGCAACCAGAGTTTTGCATGGAATTAAATTCTTTGAACAATTTTTAAAGGTGACCACCAAAGGAACATTCCTGTGAAGTTTGGATGAAATTGGCTTAGTGGTTTATGAGGAGATGTCATTTAAAGTAAAAGTTTACGGACGGACGGACGACGGACGGACGGACGCCGGACGAAAAGCGATCACAAAAGCTCACCCTGTCACTTTGTGACAGGTGAGCTAAAAACTAAGTATTCAGCCATTAACCAAGTATTACATCAGTGCCATCAATGTCAGTAGGAGCTTTGTTATTCTTTAAAAGTGTCAAACTAATAAAAAAATAGTAGAAAAATTCATATTGATTAAACAAAATGCTTTTGATATTACTGCCTTAAAGATTATACCTATCTATTGCCACAATAAAACTTGTTGTGTTGAAAAATAATATATTTGTATGTGTACTGATATTCCTGCAAAGATCATATATTCCACAGCACATGCCCTGCCATAAATGAAACCCATAGGCCATAACACATTTTGCCAGTCTATATATTCCATACCACATGCCCTGCCATTATATAAAACCCATAACACAAGTCTACTCATTTAATAAAATTCTTAACATGTCATGCCAGTCTAAATATTCTGCAACATATGTCCTGCCAATATATAAAACCCATAGCACATGCCCTTCAAATTGTATAAAGCCCATAACACATGTCATGCCAGGCTATATATACACAAAACATGCCCTGCCACTGGATAAAACCCATAAAACATGTCTTGCCATTATATAAAACCCAAAACAAATTGGCACTGAAGTCCGTACTCTCATTGCCTAAAGGGGCGAATGGACACTCATTAAGCCTTAGAATACACACATACACACTCGCTCTAAAGACCTCAGGCCTAACCAAATAATAGTCATATCACATTAAATATTTCATTACACACATACTATGGCCTTTTAAATAATTCTGCTGAACTATCTACATTAAAATCCAATTACAGCCATTATGAGCGAATCACTACAAAAATAAAGTTAAATTTCTAATAATTTGTGCACCATAAATTACAAATATATTTTCCCAATTTCTGTACAGCAACAAACAAAACATCTTGTCCAGCTACAAAGAACAACTTAAG